TAATTGATCGCAAACACTTTTCTTGCCACTCCACCACCATATGTAACCACCACCACCACCAACACCATCACAACCCCCACCAACATCGTCATCATTACAGCCAGTACCACCACCACTACCTGCAAACACCATCAACAAATACCGCCACACAATCAATGCACAACCACCGCAAAACAAACTTAGGATTAGAGTCGTGACAACAGCAATGATGCAACCACTGCAAAACAAATCCAAAATCAAGCTAAGAATCAAATTAGGTCCTATCCAAAATCACCCCAAAAATCATCTTCAAGCTATCATATACACCACAGCCAGTATACAGAATAATTAAAACTCACATACAAAACAAAATGGAACTAGAAGAAGATCAAAGTACATCGTTGTCCTTGTACAACGACGAGCGTCGTCACCTCTTCGCAGGGACGACGGGTCTTTGCATGCGGCATTGCATGGCGAGCAAAGTGCCAAGTAACAACAATTGCAGCATCGCCTCGCATAGTGGCACTGTCATCATCGGATGTACGGGAAGAATTGATTCAAATAATTAACCAAAAATTGAAAAATGAAAAAGGTGTGACTACATATCAACTTCGACCAAATATTCGGACTTAATCCGATAGTCAAATTACAAAAGTAAATAAACCAACTTATTCTACTCGTGGAGCAGATTGTCGTGGTATACTTGAAATCTCGAAACCAATTCCAAATAAATAAGAAATTGCGGACCAAAATTAGAAGAAATGAAGTATTGTAATTTTTCGAAAGGACGCAAGTTTTGGCTAAGTGTTACAACTTTTCAAAAGGATGCATGTTTTGGCCCACATTAGTTTTTTTGCACCCTTTCTACATCTACAAATAGAACCCTATGGACATGATTTTAGGTACACCAATTGCATTGAGCATTCATTCTCCTCTTACAATTCTCTCATTTCTAATTCCATAGCATTTTCATGCATTTCCTTTATAGAAGGGAAATTCTGTCAAAAGGTCGTCGGTTTCTTGTGGTTTGAAGTACTGCTACCACAAGTTACGAATCCATTGTATTTTGAGAGACAAGTGTCATTCACCGTGAATATCGTAACGGGGCAATTTGTATTAAGGAAAGAGATAACATCTCGCCTTGGATTATTCGCTATTTCTACTCCTTCTTAATTCTTGTTTTGCGTAATCGTTATACGGAAACTCTGTCCAAACTTCCATTCATATAAATTGTGTTTTGATTACGCTCTTGCGGGTTAAAACTGGTCAAATAAATATATCAAAACTATTACATAACCCTTTTTATAAGTCGGATCCAACATATGTCACTGCCAGTCGTGCATTGGCAGTGTTCTCTCAACGACAATCTCTCACGGTGGCCTCGAGTGGAAAATTTGAAGAGAAAAGGAAGAGGATAGAGAGAGGGGAGAAAAGAAAATGATTTAAGGTTGGAGTTAAGGTTTGGGTTGGATGCGATAGGTTGGTTATGTAAATTAACTTATTTTCATAATATTAAAAAATTAAATCATCACTTGATTTTCGTATAAAAAAACTTTTAAACATGAATTTGAATTGTATAGTTTATATGTAGGGTTTAGGCTAATTTTTCCATTTATTTTTTTAAAACTCATTTTTAACCATACATTATTCAATAAAATAATATTACACACAAACCTAATTTTTAATTTTTATTTTTAATAACTCATTCTCCACCAATCTAGTATTTCAAAATGCATTCTTTCATCAAAATGGCACCCAAACAAGGGCCTCTATATGAAAAGGGTTTGCCAAATCTCATGATAAAGAGCATTAAAGGACAACATGAAAAATGAGAGACAAAGCTATAATATCAGTTAAGATTGCACCAAACATAAATATATGTATATCAATCCTCTTATGACATAGTTCTTGTTTGTTATTTGAGCTAAAAACACTTAGCAGCTCTCGAAATTATCGCGAATCCCCAAAAAAATCCTAAAATTAGCTAGATAATAGGATGTTAAAATAATTTAATAACAAACAATCAACAAATTAAGAATTAAATTAAAAACGAGCAATTTACTGAATTATAGATTTGACAAAGTATTAGTCTATTATGTTCTGATCACACAAATACAAGGTAGACAATAAAAACTGGGGTGAGGTATGGTGGGTAACGTAATGTATCAATTTTTAATTTTTTTTTAATTTTTTTCATTATTATTATTTTTTTAATAAAAATATCACGTAACTTCTAATTTCCCTCCAAATTGGTCATTTTTCTGGCTCCCTCCGCCAGCAGTCCGCCTCGCGATCGGGCTTTCACTGCCCGTCCGCCTCTGCTCTCCAGTCTCCCTCACCGCCATTGGCACCAGTCTTCCTTTCCAGTCCGTCCCTTCTAATTTCTGAAGGTAAAACCCTAATCCTAACAGTATCAAATCTCAATTAGTTTAAGATAACACACAATCACATTTGCAAATAACAAGAAATTTATTTAAATAGTGCAATCAATATATCATTTGACGGAAGATAGGCATTTTAGCAGAGGATAATCATAATTCCAAGCTGTATCGAGAAGTTAGGAGCCCTTGGCTGTATCTGTCTCATGAGTTATTTTTTTTACGATAACTTTTGTTTTAACGTACAATCATGCTACATGAATAAAAAGTTTGATGTGTTGGTTGACATAATGTCAAATAGTATTTCATTATTGGACTATTTTAAACACAATCAACTATCCCAGCCAATCACCTTCTGTCATTGCATCTTCTGTCATTGTATATGATCGAATTCTTCTGTCAAAATAGCATTATTCTTTAACATTTCAAATTTATTTTATTTCAAAATATAGTGGTTGTCCTGGGTAATAAACCTCATTTTTTCTTCACGTTAGAGGTTTCCTGGGGAAACTTAGTTATCCACTATTGACTAATTTGTTTGGTTGAATAAAAGAATATTTGTTGTGTAATTTGAATGTGGTTTAGTTATCACAAAGAAATTTTGCACTTATTTATTTGTTAGATATATGTCTCAAGCACGAAAGGATAAGAATGGCTATGTCATAATAGTGTTTGGCTGATCAATTAGTCTATTTGTACAAAGTTGATTTACAAATTAAGTGTTCGGCAAAATTTAGGTCACTGATTTTCATTGATTTCAAAAATTGTTTTTGAAATGATTGGCCTTAATGTTGCCGACACATAGTTTGTAAACCAAATTTGTCAACCTAGTTTGTACAAATAGCATTATTCTTGACTGGTTAGATTCAACTTTCAAAGATTTTTTTTTTTTTTTTAATATGTTTTCTTATTTTTAGTTGCCTTATTGTCACAAGTTGTAATCAAAGTAGGTGTTATTTTTAGAATTTTTGTGTCTATTAAATTTTTATTTTTTGTTACTGTCACATTTCTATTGAGAGACTTAAAAGAAGAAATAAGATCGTTCGAAGGAGCCTTAACCTTCATAATTAGGTTTCCAAGGAAGCTAAACCTCCAAACAAATAGTATAGTTTGCAATCAAAATACATCATTTCTTATCATTAATACGAGTATTGCAAATTTGATTATGCTTCCTTAACTCAAAATGTTTGCGTCCAACACTAATAATAAATACATTATATCCAAATTAAGCTTCAAATATACTTCCTTTTCATTTTATTTACCTTTAAATTGGGAATTTAACCTGTAAAAGTCATATACAACATAAAGTGTGTGGCCCCGTCAATTCCTTTGAATTTCATTCCTGTGAACTCAATTAATCTATTTTTAGTCTAATTTAGGAATCTAAATAGAAGTGTAAAATGCACTTATTATTCGTCTAACTTGAGGTTGAGATAGAGGGCAAGGTCTAACATGAGATTGAGAAATTCGCTCAATTAATCTTTTATGCTAATTTAGAAATCTAGAAAAACATTTAAAATACACTTATTAGTATCTAACTTGAGATTGTGATAGAGAGCAAGGTCCAAGGAACGAAGAGGAAAAACACGAGGATATGGGGGTGGCTATTAGGGTTCACATGGGGTGGATAGGGGGTTGCGAATACTTAAGACTACAATTACAAAGGATGTTAAAATAAGATCACTCATACTATCAAGAGGAATATATTACAAAGTAGATAGATGAAGATGTGTGTTGATCCCATAAACCCAAATACTAGTTATGGACTCTCGACTCCAAACACTTGTAAGATACATGTACTTTACTTTTATTCTGCAAGAAGAAAAAGTATATTCATAGTTGTGAAAAGTAGATAAAGTATTTGCCATTACAATCACATATTAATCGTTTCTATTTTTCATTTTCATACTTTATTTTTTTACTATCATATTCATTTTGTTTCTTTATTGTATTATTTTAGCAAAAATTAATAATATATACTTTGTTATACCAAAAAAATTGAAATTTTAATCCAATGTCGATCAATGATGCTACAAATTTTAAAGTTGAGGACTCGATATTAAAGGCAGATCTAGGAATTCGAGTGAGTTAGAACAATCGTTGACTATTAAGAAAAAATATATCCCGGGGCTAACTACTCGTGGATGGCTCAAGCGGCTGACGAGCAGTTTGACATAGGTTCAAACCACTAGCCTAGGGTAGGCAAGTGCGTGTGGCCACTCAACGACTACTCGAGCCATCGCTGAATATGTATACTCATTTTTTTCGATGGATGTTGCTCCGTCCCAACTCGCTATAATAAAAATCAGGTCGGGGACCAAATTACTACAAAGGTTGTAACAAATGATGCAATTCTCCAAACAAACTAAACTGTAAAAGTAGCCTAGGTGGGCTGGACAGAAAGTGGATCTATTTGTGAAGTCCATACTGGAAGGGCTTGTTTGTGGAACTTGACCAAAAATAAATATTTTTTGGGCTATAGTGGGCCAAAAAACTATAGCCCAAAAAAGTGATCCAATGGAAAAGGGTCCATAAAGGCCGAAAATGAATGTCTGGGCCGAGGATAGCCCAAAATGAGGAGAAGGGCCCGCTAAATAATCACTTTATAAATTGCAACCCAAAAGGGGGTGGACGACCTTTAAACCAGTGTTGAAAAGATTTATCATTGGATCTGGTAACCCGATGGGTCGAAGTAGAGATCCGCCTGAAACACACTTCTATCCTAAGGCCCCAGCCATTGCCTTCGTCCTCCTCCGCCGTGGTTCTTCTGTCAGACAACCTATAATTAACTCGCTATCAGGCACGTTTTGCTATGAATTTCTCCTGTTCCTTTTCTTAAGTTATATTTCGAGCTTTTCGACCTTATTTCTGTTTATGCCGGTGTGAACTGTGAATTGGGATATTATTATTATTTTTTTTAGTTGCATAAAAATTATTCGAATTTCAAAATTTGTGGAGGGGTGTCTCTGTAGTGAATTTGATTGTGTGGGTTGCTTTGAATTGGAATCCTGGATGTGAAGGGATGTTCTTTCTGCCTTTCTGGATATTAGATGTCATGCCGAATCTGATTAGATAATTTCTGGTTTACAAATTTAAGGGGACTTCATGACTTAATATGATTTAAGCTCGTGAATTTTAGTGGCCTTTTGATTTTCTTGAGGTTGTGAATAGTTAATTCCTGGAGGCTGATACTGGAGATGAAGTTTGGCTTCATTATAGTTTGATATCCATGGATTTCAGGACAGTGGGGAAGAGAAGTCTGGAATGGGATCCAATTATTGGAAATGGGATGGGGATCTTTTCATTGTTAATCCTCTTGACCTCAATGGCGACCTTTATAGTTTAGTGAGTGGGTGATAATTTAAATGCAGTCAACAAGTTAAATGGTTGCATGTTAGAAAAAAACTTCAGGAGGTGATATCAGAAGTTTTTATTTTTTTGGTGGTAGTGGCGTGGGTCGGGTGGGAGGGGGAATTAATGCAATGTAATTCATCCAATTTGGTTCCTGAGTCGTGTTTCAATCTTCAACCCCTGTAACTTCTTTACCGTCTTTGTTAGTTCTTCGACCTTTCTTTTTTAATTTGCTTCTATGACTTTTAAGTTGAGCATGGAATTTTTGTTTCTAGTTCCACTCGGCATTCTTGGATTTATATGTGTAATAGGTTCTAAAGTTATTTAAGAATAAGTGACTTATAAATTCTCGTGGCTTATATAAACTCACATTTTCTTGTTATGTTTGGTTTGTTTTTGGGTTCACGATAGTTAACCAATTGGCATTGTGCTGCAGACTTGTTGATACTGTGACCACAGGAAAGGAAACATGCTTTCAGGGTTAAAGTTTATACCCCGGGAACAAATCGATAAAGTAAGGACTCAACGTTTCCCTACATTATTCAACAGGTGTTCTTGATTGGCTTTCTATATGTGTTTGTGTGTTTGTGCAACTGTTGGATGTGATTTAGTAAGAATCTCTACTTTGTATTATGTATGTGTCTACAAGCAATTTTTTGTAACTTTAACAAACTATTTTTCTCTTGTATTTTATTTTATTTTTTTCCTTTTTTTCTCTGTTTTTTGTCATTTATCTATGAACATAAAATTTATAGCATGGTGGATTTTGTTTAAAACAAATAGAATGTAATTTTCCAGCTGTTAGCTGTTCACAAGAATGTTTGTTTTTTTATGTGCTCGTATTGATTTGGGTAGTTGTCAGGCAAAGGATGAAAACTCTGATGATAGTAAAAAGGAGAGAAGAAAACCAGGCAGAAGGAAAGAGAAACATAGAAGGAAAAAGAAGACTTCACGTTACAGTAGTTCTGATGATGAAGGCTTTGAAAAAATAAAAAGTGGGTCTAGAAAGAAAAAGAAATGGTATGCTTCAGATGAGGATTTGTCTTCAAATTCAGATGAAAGTCGAAGTGATGATGATTCCGAAATTGATCACAAGAAACGTAAGAGTCTGAAAAGAGAGAAGAAAAAACATGATGGTAGCTCTCAAGATGAACATAGGGGTCAGTCAAAGAAGAAGACCGAGAGTCGGAAAAAACAGTATCTGTCAGAAGATGGATCACCATATGATTCCAGAAGTGCAAATTCCAGTGAGGAAAGGAGGCATCATAAAGGAGAAAAGGGTAGTCGGAAGAAGGATAAGAAAAGGGGAGACGAGGATGACACTATTGATAGTGACTTGTATGGTATGTATCTCATCATTTGTTCTATTTGGAACTTAATTCCTTAGTGTTCCTAGTATTCTATCATTTTGTAGGAGTCAATTTTCTTGGTCATGTGTATCAGATGATGGTGAAGGATCTCTGTCGCAAAACTACAGCAATATTGTGAGGAAAGAAATGGGATTGGACTGGATGCTTCGGCCTAAGGACAATACTGAGAAGACTTCTGACAAAGCCTCTGACATGCTGCTAGAGGAAGCCTCAACTGAAGAGGTGAACTCCCAAATTTTTGTGTTACCAACGTTGGGTGGATTATATGTCCCCATGTTCTTATATATAACCCGTCACACCTTCCACTATTAAAAAAGGAAAAATATTATGTTATATGTGATCTTGTGATTCCATTGAATGTACTGGTGAAAGGTTGATCTTCACTATGATTAAATTACCACATTATTTTCAAGTTGAAAAAAATTAAAAAAACGAAGAAATAAAGAAACCAATGATATTATGCAAGTGAATATTATTGCATTTATTTCAACTGTGGTGTTCATTCTATAGTTTTATTATGTTATGTGTGATCTTGTGATTCCATTGAATGTACTGGTGAATTGTTGATCTTCACTATGATTAAATTACCACATTATTTTCAAGTTAAAAAAATTACAAAGACGAAGAAATAAAGAAACCAATGATATTATGCAAGTAAATATTATTGCATTTATTTCAACTGTGGTGTTCATTCTATAGTTTTATAAAGGGACTCACGGGTGTTGAGCTGGGTTCCATTAAAATAAATTGGTGTTGAAAAAGGACTTTCCTATTTATTATTTTCTTGGGAAGGAAAGATGGAGGAGAGTGGAACTCTGGATGTCGTATAATGTTAAGGCTATATTTGGGCTCCATTCTTTAAAAACTCATTTTTTTCTCAAACTCATTTTCAACAATACATTCTCCCACTAAAATAATTCTACACATAAATACAAAACTTTTCCTTACTTTTTAACTATATGTTCTCCTAAAGTTCACTTTTTACAAAATCCTTTCTCAAATAGTGGAGCTCAAACATGGTCTAAATTTCACAAGAAGGATGCTGAAGAGAGACTGTATGTGGTTCATAGAGCTTTCAAATTGGTGTCAGACTAGTATAAAGGGCCAGACAAAAACGAAAGCAGCAGAATGAGTGCAATCTGGGAATGATTATTAGTGAGGTCAGACCTGAAATGTGTTTTCTGTATTGTTTATGTATTGATTTATGGGGGTGTATAATAACTAAGATAAGAGAATATCATGAAGATTTCCTAAAAATTTTCGGCAGAACTTCATAACCACTTCTAATATCACGTCCAAAGTGTTATTGCCATGTCAGCGCCTACTATGCATTTCTATGGGATTTTACAAGTTCCAACAGTCTCAGAGTTCAGAATATCGTAAATACGAGAAGTTACCTGTTCGTTTCATACTTAATGAAGAGTATTGAGAATCGGTTGGTTTACCATAAAATTTAATGAAGAGCATTAAGAATCAGTTGGTTCACCCTAATTTAGGACTATGTAATGTAACTACTGGATCTGTATCTATACCATATTAGGCAAGTTTCGGGGTTTGTAATACTGTTGCCACAAAAATTTAAATGATCGGGGCACAGTTGTCTTGTGTAGATGGTTGAGAGCTCCTGTACACAGGAATAATATGAACACAGTACAACAAGTTAGTGAGTGATAGACAAAGTAAGCATTATGCTTAATAGGGATAGAAGAATTTATACCATTGGTTTTTCCCATAAGAGGTAGAATTCACTGAATGCATTGGCTAAGAAAGTTTCAAGTCGGTGATCCCAAATTTCTTGGAAATAAAGCTTTTAATTGTTGCTGCTGTTGCCTTTACTTTTGTAATTTGTATATCTGTTACTCGTTCAATTGATTTTTAAGGTTATTGTATTGATATAGCATTTATCTGAGTTGGATGCCTGGTGATTTATGCATATAAAACAATTTTTTGACTAATTTCCCAGGTTAAGAAGGTGAATCCTAGAGAATTAAACCCATATTTGAAAGATAATGGGAGTGGTTATCCGGAAGAGTCTGATCAAGTAAAGTCTGGGAGCCATCTTTTATCAACTGCAGCTGTTGGTGATGGAGGTGCCAGCTGGAGGCTAAAAGCGTTGAAGAGAGCCCAAGAGCAAGCAGCTCGTGAAGGACGGAAGCTTGAGGAGGTATGTAGATATGGCTCTCTAATTTGAATGTTAATTCAACTATTACCAAGTAGTGAATAACGAACTTGTTTCCTCACAGGTGGTTGAAGAGCGTTGGGGTTCTATGGGTCAATTTGCAGCTTCTGTGGCTTCTCGTACAGTTGCACCAACTCATGCTCATCTTCATGCTATAAGAAATAGGAAGAAAGAGTTAATTGAAGAAGAAAGGGCAATTATAAATAACGAAAATAATAGTTCTGTTGAGAAGGTAATCCTCCATTTGAATTGACTTTAATATAGCAGTTAAATATTTATGCATCCGTGTTCAATTTACTCTTGAGTCTACTATCAGCTGCTATCAGAAGAAGGCTGAAAACTTGGTTTATAGTGTCCTTTCTTCTAGACCAGCTGGGGGAAGGAGTGCACTCTGAATGATTGGCTACATAAACTACTTCTTGTCCCAAGATATCAAAAATCATTTTTTGATTTCTTCGGAATGAGATAAAAATAGCTTTCTAGAGATATGATGATTTTAGTGATGCCAACTAATGGATTTTGTTTTATCAGAATTCTGATCGGAAAAGCACTGTGGATGTTACTCAGCATTCTAGAATGAGAGTGCCCAAAGTTCGAGATTCTTTATCCTGGGGGAAGCGCAGAAATCAAAGTATGTCAACTCAGGATTCTGCTCTTGTCTCTGCTGCTATGTCAGGCTTAAATAGATTTGATAATGATGGAAGCTTCATGCATAAAATTGTGCATCAGAAGAATGATAATTCTGTTGATCTCAGTAATTCTTCCCATACTAAGTCTGAGGAAAGAGAAGAACCAAAATCAGTTGGATACAAATCAGAGGAATCTAAAGAAGATGCATCAATTGTGAAGCCAGCGGTGAGTGCGAATCAGTTGGCTGCGAAAGCCTTGCAACTCCGTATGAAAGGAAAGCATGAAGAAGCTGAAAAACTTATGGTAGGAATAAATTTCATCTTCTCTCTCTTTCACTTTATGTTCATTGAACATCTTCTGTGTCGCAATCACTAGCTGCTCTGGCTCTCAAAAATGCCTGAAAGCATATCTTCTTGTGGTTTCGGACACTTGTTTACCGATAGGTCCCACACTTCTTTGGTCCTGTAATCTGGGACGTTCTTATTTGGATAAGAAATATCTTGGACAAACTATATACCTTTTCATTTTATTTTATCGATCATTGACGTGGTATCCAAATTGATCTTGCATTGTAGAGTGGGTATTATAATAGGGTGATCATGTGTTACCGTAACTTTTTCCTCCCGAACAGCCACTAGATAACCAGAGTAAATTGAAAGATTTTATGCCTGGAACCTTGGGCTTGCTAATGGTCACTGACTCGATAGTTTAAAGAATTTTCAGTTTTCTTGAGGGTGATTCTTATAAAAATATGATTTTTGTTCTCATAATAGATATAGTAATATTTGTAGATATCCCATCATTGCATGAGAAATTCGTCTATTTGGTGCTTAGGAGGAATATGGACTTTTGCCCTCTAGCCATGTACTTTTCTGTCCAACAGGATAACATTTATGTTATCAACCCATTTTGTACAATGATTTTCTACTTTATGGAGAACTCAGGGCTGGGTAATGGAAATGCATCTCGTTTTCTCCCTTTTTTTTTTTTTCCCCTTTTTACCTTGTGTGTGTTCGATTAATCGGAACATTGTTGTGTTAGAATGATAAGATAAGCAAATATTGCAATGATAATGTTACATTTTTTAGAGTTGCAGTACGAGGTTCTGCTTTTGTATTTGTTTATTGAACATAAGATCCATGTTAAACAAATTGTTTGTAATGCACCAAGTGTTATCGGTATTTCTTAGTCTCAATTGGTTTTACTTCTTATAAGCTGCATTGAAACAGGAAAATGGCTTTACTAAGTTCTAATGCATGTTCTAGGTGAATTTGGGTGGAGAAACTTCCATTCATTATCTGCCTCATTTTGTGACGTTATTGTAATCATGATTTCCCATATTTTTTTTTTCCTACAACTTCTTCGTCAAGTGCTTTTCTTTATGTCAAATATGGTGATAGTGCAAACTGCAATCAAGTGTGTTGTTAACACTGTTACTTCTTGTTTCCTCCTTCATTGGAAGAAATCGGAGTATTCTCCACATTTTTTTGGTGTCCGACTTCTCTTTTCTTTCTTATAAAATGCAAAGATAGTTAGTGTTAAAGTGGTGACTTGTCCTCAATTTCCATTTTGATGATTAGCTAGAGTGTTGTTTTGTTTTTAGTAGTCTAATCTTCACATTCTCTTTTCTTAATCAGAAAGAAGCTGAGAAAATAAAAGCTACACGGGTAGCTGGTAATGAGTCAAGCAGACCGCAAATTGATGGGACCACTAGCAGGTGATTTTGCATCCTACCACTGTTTATAATATTTTACATAATTGTTAGGCGTGGTGGTTGTCCTTGTTTGTCTTGTTTCATTTCATGGCCTTTTCACTTTATGAAGGTATATTATGAATGATGTCTCTGCCCGACAAAAGAAGAAAGAAGAGGATGCTGATCTGAATCTAGCTCAAACCATTATGTGTAATCATCAGTATAGCAAATCCCGTCAGGCAGACGATGAATATGATTATGATGATGGTCCAAGGAAAAAGACTCGCAAGAAAGGAGGGGGAGGCAATCATAAGTCAAGTGAGATATCTAATTCGGCAAACCGCTTCTTCACGCAGCAAGAACGCTGTCAATTTTGCTTTGAGAATCCAACAAGACCTAAGCATCTTGTCGTTGCTATTGCGAACTTTACCTACTTGTCATTACCTCAAATGCAGCCTGTTGTCCCGGGTCACTGTTGCATTTTAACCTTGCAGGTGAACCTGTATCTTCTGTCTAAATAAATATCCACTTTTTCTCATTTTTTTAATTTTTTTTTAAATTTTTTTTAATCAGAAATACATCTTATACATAATAACTCGTCTCTAGATGAAAAATGACTTTATTGTGAAATGTCGCTTCAACCATTATAAAGTTATTACTTTTTTCTTGCATTGCAGAAACTATCTGCTCCTGAATTATGTTGAAAAATGCAAATAACTCTATTTCTTATATCTGAAATTATTACTCCGCTGACATTAGTGATGCAAAATCATGTTTTCAATTGCTTTGCAGACATGGCACATAAATTTGTGATTTAATTGCATAAATCGGTTGATGGTAGATTAAAAGTAGATGATTCTAGTTTTGTGCTGCTAACATAGTTTACCTGTTGTTTTTATTGACGATGTCGTCATTTTTGTAGTAACCGTAATTTTTTACTTTTTGCCTGAACAGCATGAATCATGCACAAGATCTGTTGATGATAATGTGTGGGATGAAATTCGGAACTTCAAGAAATGCCTAATAATGATGTTTAAAAATCAGGAGAAGGATGTAGTATTCCTTGAGACAGTTATGGGGTTGGCACAGCAGCGGCGCCATTGTTTGGTAGAGTGCATTCCTGTGCCCCAAGAAATTGCAAAGCAGGCACCTGTTTACTTCAAGAAGGTAATGCCATCTCATTTTTACTCTCCCGTAAATTATTTTTCCTGATCGTTATCACCCCGAATTTTGATTTTGAATGCAAATACCTCTTAATGCATGTTTGGGAAGTGAATTTTAATCTAAGTTGGTCAAACGACAAACACCCTTATCCGTAGGATGCACAACTATTATCTACTTATTATTCACACATTCAGTAGCGCCCATAATTTATAATAGCTTAAGTTTTAAAGTTCATCACTTCCCAGACGTGCACTTAAAATTTTACTCCCATCTTTACGCCATATGCCATTGAATTTAATGTAGATTCATAATATATGACAGTTAGAAGGATCCACATTAGGCTTCTTTTTCGAATTTACCATAACATAAAGCACTTTCTGATTTTCAAAAATTGTTTAATGTTGCTTAATGATCTGTATTTTTATGTTTTTTTTCACCATTGTCCAAAATCTGCCCTGATGAGTACCCTTTGCTTAAAAAATTAATTATGATCGAAGTATGGAGGGAAACTGTGGAATTGCTAACTCGTACGAAGAACATAAAACTGGAAATAAGTTCAAATAATTTGTTTACATAATTTTATTTTCTGCTTTTGCTTTCTGGGTACGCCAAATTGTTAATTTCTAACATGTTACTGTAGGCAATTGATGAAGCTGAAGATGAATGGAGTCAACACAACGCAAAGAAGCTCATTGATACAAGTGAAAAGGGTCTGCGAGGTTCAATCCCCAAGAATTTCCCGTATTTCCATGTTGAATTTGGATTGCAAAGGGGATTTGTTCATGTAATTGACGACGAGAAAGAATTTAAGAGCAGCTTTGGGCTCAATGTAATAAGAGGTATGCTACGTCTGCCAGCCGAGGACATGCATCGCCGTCGGAAGCATGAATCCATGGAAACGCAGAAGCAAGCTGTCGCAAGTTTTGCTCGGGATTGGGAACCTTTTGACTGGACAAAACAGCTGGACTAGAACTTGGAATGCTGCCAGCTGGTTTTCAGGGTTGTTGAGACTCCCAGACTGGGTGAGCTTAAAATGAAAGACATCTCTGGCAAGTACTAGTGGAAGATTTGGCATGCTGATGGTGTAAAAATTAAAACTTGTGAATTCAGGTCTTGTACTTGTTCATGATACTAGTCTCCATCTCCATGTGATGATGTAAAAATTAAAACATGTTTAATAAATTGAATATTTACAACTCCAAATTATTTTTATGGATTCAAATTTAGAAGTGAAGAGTTTGAAAAGTTTTCAGCCTTTCCAAATTATTAATTGAATTTTACTTTTTTGGACTTAATTTAGATACAAATGAAAATTTTATGCCATATTTGTATTACTTATTTATGTTCAATTATGTCCTAAGTCTTAGGTTTAGCATATTTTTCAAGTCTAGGGGAATATTTTTATGTGTTCATAAATTGTGGATTTTATGTAGGTGGTAAGTGGATAGTATCTGTAATTGAAATAGGTTGTCTCAGGTATAGAGCTCCATGTGCTATTTATCGAGTGGAACTATGTGCCAGTGATTGACCAGCGTCAAATTCGGCCATACAAAGTGACTTTGTTTATTTACTAACGAAATGAACAAAAATCTATCTTCGTTTTTCTGTGTTCTGGCATTTTTGTTGAGAAAATTGGTTGATTGCAAGAAGTGAGTTTGCTGAGAAGTTAGATTTTGATTAAACCAGAATTGATTTGGGAAAAATGATGCCACTTCTGTATTCAGTGTGCGTGTTAACATAATCTTGTTTTTGACTTCTGTCTGCATCTTCCGTATTTCAAGAACGACCTCGATATTTTCTTACAATCTTCTTAGTGCTTCCAACCCAACCCAACCCAACCCAACCTGCCATCATCGTTGCACCCTCTGCTGGAAGTGTGAGATCGTGTTGCACAATGAGAAGGGTCGATCTTGAGATTTTGGGTGTCTTGCGTGACATTTTAAAATGGCTCCCTTTTATGTAATTAAAAAATATATATTAACAAAAAAATATTCCAATAAATAATTTCATTACAAAGTATGAAATTTAAATGCAAGTAAAGTTCAAAAACACCTCTCGCACTTCATCCAATTTCATATATCGGAAAAATGCTTGAGGTGCATTGTGGTGTCCATTTTGGACACCCGGCGCCTCGGTATTGGCCGAGACGCCTATGGGCCCAAGTGTAGCAACGCCTCGATCAATGCCGAGGTGCCAGGTGTCCATTTTGAACACCAAAATGGACACCACAATGTACCTATAGCACTACCGTCGTATATCATCAACAAAAAACTATCCAAACCACTAAGCTCTTTGTAAAATTCCATATTAAGAAATCTTGAAATCAAATACAGCAAATGCCATATGTAAACCTTGAAATACAACAAATCGTGTATATTTTTAGAAGCAAACTCGCTAGTTAAACTTTCATAATCAATATGTTCTAATAAATCTTGTTCAATAGATATCAAAGATAACTCATTCAATCATTCTTGTAATATGGTTGATTGCTAATAAAATTTTAATTATTTCAATTTTGAAAAACTTCTTTCGGCAGTTGCAATTGTAACAGAAATTGTCAATAGTATTCTAGAAACAATAAATGTATTCGGAAAGCAATCCAATAGTTTTATATCGTAAAATTTAACCAATCAGATTATATGCATTAGTATGCAACTATGCAAGAAATAAATTCATCTTCTCACACATTAGAAAGAGTAAACAAAAAATAATATTACACATAAATTGAATTCAATTAAAAGTAATTGAAAAAATTATTTCAAGTCAAAAAAAAAAAAAAAAAAAACACACACACACACACAAAATTGAATTAAATTAATGAAAATTAAATTATGGGGAAAAACACACATACATAAATGAATAAAAAAATTAAAAGAAGCAAAAAACGAAAATGAAAATAATTGATGGAAAAAGAATTAAAATAAGAAAAAATTAAAAAATTATAAGATTCAAAGTTATGTTCTTTAAAAAAAAAAAAGAACATAAAAAATACATACAAAAAGGAAAAAATGAATTATTAAAAGAAAATGAATGAAGAAAAATAAATAAAAAGGAAATTGAAAAAAAATGTAAGATTTAAGATTGAAAAATAAAAGTGAAATAATAAAATAAAATGAATTAAATGGAAAAAAATTAAATCTGGGAAAAAAAAAAGATTCGGACGGTCCAGATTCGGATGTCCCGAGCACTCCGTCCCATTTTTCTTCACTTTTTAAGTTCATTTCAACCTCAAATTCGATTTTTTTTCACTGATCAAAGGTCACTGTGGAAAAGTGATCCTATCAACCGGTCATTTACCACTTTTTCCTTCCCACTGGAAATCAAGACACCGAACGCGTTTTTGTTTGCTTTTTTCTTGATCTTTTATCCTTTTCCTCCTGTTCTTTTCAATTTCCCACTGTCTTCTTTATCTACCTCTTTCTTTTTCTAATCGTTACTACACGTTGTAGCTTCCAGACTTTTTCAATTTTCGTCATAAATTGACCACAAAATTTCACAAATCTTTTACCTAAACCCATCGTTCCCACTGAAAATCCTTACTCCCGCACACTTCCAGTCACTCTTTACCTCTTGGCGGAACACATGCACGGTCAGCACGGAGGAAAGGTCAGATCTGTGTTTTGATTTTATTCTTTTTCCTCTCTGTCTGATTTGGCTTTCCCGCATGTAGTCTCGTTTGTGGTCTAACTCCCTTGTTCCTATTTGAATGTCTTAAAGATCATTTTTAAACCTGTTGTTTGACAATTTATGGGTCTGTAGCAGGTAAATTCGAGTATGGGGATTATGAACTGATGGGAGTTTTTGATGAAATTTGATTTAAGCTGCATCATTTTTTTTTGCTCAAATCAAGTTGTGTTCTTTAGCTGTTTAATCCTCAAAAGTTCTTTTTATTTTCCCACGTTCTGTTTCTCCTCTTTCCCCCCCAAATTGACCTCCAAAAATACCACAAATCTTTTACCAAACCTCACCATTTCCACTGAGCATACTTACTCCTACTGTCTCATACACTTTCAGTCACTCTTTACCTTTTGATGAACTTATCATGTTTATGTCAATGTATTATCATTATTATATATTGGACTCTGATTAGGAAAAAAAATCAATGAAATCAAGTTGCTTTTCTTTATTTTTCTTCTTATTATTTTCTAACACAAACCTATCGTTTCACACTTATGCAGATAGATCATATATTGTACACAGCTGCACCAGAAGTCGATCTTTGAGCAGTGTTCTAAAAAGTCTAGAGTGTGGCGTGGCCTATGGTGGAGGCCAAGCTTCGGCCTAAGCGTAAAAAATCATTTTCTTATTTCAATAATATTTTAAAATTTTAACTTAATCTAAAAATCATTTAATAATTAAAGAAAAATAAGCGTAAAAATGTTAAGCCCCAAAAAAAATACAAAAAGCAAAAAATAGTAAAAATAATAAAAAGGGTGAAAAAACGCAAGGCATGGCGTTTTGCGCCCGCCACCTAGGCCCGCCTAGACATTGCTTTTTTAAAACACTAACTTTGAGTACATATTCAACATTTTAGCAATCAATTGACGCCAATAAAAATACTCAATTTTTCTTTGTTGCATATTTCAATGATTTCCGAGAATGCGATAAAGAAATCCTCAATGCATGAATAATTGCTCTTTTAAGTTAATTTCGATGGAAATTCAACTCTTCATATTGCAGTAAAAAATGGTAAAATTGTTGTCTGATCAACAATGATAACATCGGCTAAACATTCAAATTAGAATGTTGAATCTGGTGGTGGAACAAAAAAAAAAACAAAAAACAAAAAAAAACAAAAAAAAAGAAAACAAAACAAAAACTTTTATTAATGAAAATTATAAATTGAGATATTTTGTTGCATGAAGCAATAACGAGTGATCGGTCGTAAATTGTTGCAATGATTCTTAGAGATTACCCAGAAATTGCAAATATAGTGAACAGTTCATTGAAAACTCTACTCTTTCTTGTTGTTTATAATAGATGAATTTTGTGTAGAATACGTATATTGAAATATTGTCATTCGTTGACTTACGTTAACCCCAAAGGGAACACTGTTCTGCATGCTATTGCTATATGTAAACGAAGAGCTAAGTTTTAAATTTTAGTTAATGTCATCTACAGTCACTCTTATTTAAGTGAATTGTCAATTGGTAGTCGCATTTAGTTGATGATAAATGAATGGAAAAGTCATTAATTTTATTACTATAAGTACTTTTGTACTTTAATATGAAGATTGTATTTTTATTGAGCTGCCTGTTTATGTCTCGATATTCTTCTTATTCAATAGAAAATTAGAAAGCTATTGGTATTCATCATTTTCGTACATCAGCATGATTTTGTAGTACTCTACTCTATTCTCTCACTTATGATTTTGATAATTGTAGGATTCGTAGTAAAATTGTTGAAAAACATCTAGAAGTGGACATTTTTTCCCGTCCACCAAACTGGAACCGTTTAAAACTGGCCTATTCAGCATCAAATCTTCTAAAAAACTATTTGATTTCGGGACAAATTATTAAGAATCAATCGGCTCCGGTCCGGTTCCCGGTTCTAGTGTGGGAATCGCTAGGAACCAGACGGTTCTCATAGGATTTTTCTTTTTATTTATTTTTTTTAAATTTTTGGTAAAATATATGATTCAGTCTCCAACACTTTCATAGAAAATAATCGGGTTCCTTCTTAATCTTAGACTCTAGCACTTTCCTTATTCTCTTTGATTCTTTCCTTTTATCTTTTTATAATTCTTTGATTAATTGATTCTCAAGTCAAATTAGAATATTGGGTAAATTTATACCAAAATAAATTTATTTACAATATAAAATTTCATTTCTAAGATGCGAAATTTTTATTTTGTTTTCACTTTGATTACATAATTATTGATCCGATCGAAACTTTTCATCTAGATTTTTACAAATTATAACCAACAGAACCAGAAGTTGCAATAAATTTTTAAAGGATGTCCAATTCAATGTAGGATTTTGATTTTGATGGAAGTTTGTTTAATCAAAGTGAAAACAAAATAAAAATTTCGCATCTTAGAAATGAAATTTTAAATTATAACCAACAGAACCAGAAGTTGCAATAAATTTTTAAAGGATGTCCAATTCAATATAGGATTTTGATTTTGATGGAAGTTTGTTTAATCATTATAGTACTATACAGTTTATATAAGTTGATGATTGCTTGATGATAGTAACTTATATTATTTGAATATTGTTTTTAAAGTTGTATGCTTAGTTTTCTTTTAATCTTTGAATAGTATGTTCTCCTATTCTATATTTTGTTAAAAGTATCACGTTGGTAATGTCTTTAGATTTTTTATTAGTGAATATTTTATTTTGATATTTTCAATGTAAAGAACCGGATCAGACCAAATCGGAACCGATTGGTTTGGTTCCTTCCGGTTCGGTTCCATAGCTAATTATGGAATCAATGATTCCATTTCTAAAATTCCCATTGGTATTCGGTTTGGTTTGGTTCCCTATGGAACCGGACCAAATCGGACCACGCCCACTCCTAAAAACATCCAACTTCAATAAAGAAGGTAGATATTTTGGATGGAGTGATCTTCGTTATGCTACACGATATGGATCCGACATTGTGGCAAAAGAATTAATATAAACAGATAAATTGTTGCATAATATTTGCACAAAGAGATGATAATAAGACAAATCTACATTTAGCAACATGTGAGGAAAATGTAGAGATACTGAGAGATATCTTAAGATGTTGTCGTGATTGCTCAGAAATAGTCACCGGTGATTGTCAAAATATTTTACACCTTGTCGCGAAATTCAATAAAAAAAGTTCAAATTTACCTTGAAATAGTCTTGGGTTTGCAACCTTTTAAACCAAAAGGATGCAGAGCGAAGCACATTCTCTCCATGTATAAGTTGTTGCTATCAATTTTCAAGGTGTTGATCTTGTGAACCACCACTAGCAAATCAAGATGTTGTGAACAATAAAAACATGACTCCCTTTGATGTGGTGGTGCATTCTGATATTTTTCAAAAAGAGAGGTAAAGATAATTTTTCTTATTTTAATTCTTTGAGTATTCAACTTTAACCGTAATTTCTTTGAAATATATTATTTTCGATATTTTACAGTAAAAGTTGAAAACTCAAATAATTAAAATTAAAAAAATTGTCTTTACCTCTCTTTTTAAAAAAAAATATATCAGAATGCACTACCACATCAAAGGAAGTCATGTTTTTATTGTTCACAACATCCTGATCTGCTTGTAGGTTGTTCACAAGATCAACGCATTGGAAATTGATAGTACTGTCATATACATGAAGGGGGTGTGTTCTCTTTGTATCCTTTCGATTTATAAGGTTGTCAAACCAAGATTGTTTCAACATAAATTTGAATGCCTTTTCTTTGTTGAATTTTATGGCAAGATATAGAATTTTCTGTATTTTGCTCACTTGTTGCTAAATGTAGAGTTAATTTATTATCATTTATTTGTACAACCATATAAGCAATAGATTTATCCATTTGTAGTAATTCCAATGTCAGATCCATATCGTGCAGCATAATGGAAAGCACTCCATCCAAAATCATGTACCTTCTTTATTGAAGTTCGATGTTTTTTTTTTAAACTCTTCTACAATCCTGCAATTATCGGAATCATGAGTGAGCAGAGCAGAGTACAACAAAGTCATGCTGATGTTTTAAAATAATGTATACCAATAGCCTTCTATTTTCTATTTAATAATAAGAATATGGAGACAAAAAAAGAACAACTTAATAAAAATATCTTCTTATTAACGAATAAAATTACTTATAATAAAAAAAATTATTGTCAGCTAAAGTATGGTGATCAATTGACTCAAATAACAGTGACTGTGAATGAAATTAACTCAAATATAAAACTTGCCTCTCATGTTACAGAGAGCAGCAACATGTAGAGCAGTTCTCTCTTCTGGGCCAACGAAGGGCAATATTCCATTCAGTGGCGGATTTAGTAGGTGCAGTATTCACCGGAGAGATTTTTTTTATTTATTATTATTATTTTTTTCTGATAATAGATAAAAAATTTAGGTTATATAACTGATAGTTCATTTTGTTTTTAAACCTTTCTTGTGCTTAGTTGGTTAGAGCTTCCTTTTTTATATTGTGTCTTGGGTTCGATTCCTATCCTTCCATTTCATTGTGCAAAATTTTTATTTCTACAATATTTACCAAAATTAATTCCTTAAGGAAAGGATTCGAACCTATAATTTCTAGAATTAGGATAATTGGAAGCTTAACTATCATGGCAATGGTTGAATTTTGAATCTAAATTTAACAAAATAATATATGTTAAGACTTTAGGAGAGGATTTTTTTTCGTCGTTTTAAATATTTTATGCTTCAATAATTTATAAGATATGACTTATAAGTGTTGAGTTTTAATTTATATGTTATTTGAGAATTTGTCTACTGTGAATTGTGATATTAAAAATTAATTTGAGTAACGTGAAATGTGAATATGTGATTCATGAAAATTGAAAATGAAAAATTGGGGAATTTATAATTTATGATTAATTGGTGTTGAGAATTGGAAATTGAAACTTTAATTATATTTTAAAATTAATTTTAATTACGTTTAATCTTTGATTCTCATACTAATTACAAAATGATTTTTTCAACTGAATTTCAATCTAGTTCTTGTAGTGGTATATTTAAGCTCTCAACTATTTTTACTCAAGCAAACGATTTGTTAAGCATTGATAATATAAAGAAGTTTTATATATCATATAATTTGTATTATTTCGGATTGTAGGGAAATATAATATGATATAAAAATACGATTTTTACGTTTTAGTATATTTACATATAGATCGAAATTTTTTTAATATTATTTAATTTAATATTAATAAACAATATAGCTATATGGCCGTTGACTATCAACAGTCAACGGCGATAGTCAACGGCCAACGATCAACAACCGCCCTAACTGAATCGAAGTACTGGATTCGCCCCTGATTCCATTATGCGTATCCCACACAAAGTTTGTCTCTTATAAACAGTGGAGTTTCCAATGAATTATATACTATATTTGCAATTTTTGGTTAATCCCAAGCATCATTCCGCTGATCACTTATTATTGTTTCAAGCAACAAAGTATCCACATTTCTATTTTCATTGATAGAAGATTTTTTGGTGCTCCACCGCTAGATTCAACCTTCTGATCTGAACGTTTTGCCCATGTTATATTGTTGATCCAACAACAAATTTTCCATTTCTTACCGGAATAAGAAGCGCAAAATTTTCATCAGAATTCACTTCAAAGAGCAAGTATTCATATGTGCTGAGGATTTCTTCATTGCATTCTCGAGAGACTTTGAAATATGCAACAACATGAAGTGGAATATTTTTGTTTGATTTCAACTGAATGTGTACTCTCAAAGTTCTAAGTTCGCCTTCTTTTGCTGCTCTATAAAATCTAGGATACATATTTGCAAATGTATGCGAAGATAGATTTGTGTTAGAAAATGAGAAAGAAAAGCCACTTAATTTCATTGGTTTGTTTTCTAAATTGACTCCAATATCTTCAATAAGACCGATAATAATGAGAATGCATGGACATAAACACAATAAGGGCAACAAGAGGTAGAGTGATGGAAAGTGGGATTATAGATCATGAAAATATGAGGAAAGGAAAAGGAAGATTCCAACAGACTTGAGAACAATGGGAGAAATTTAGATGCCAGTGGTAGCTTTCATAGTGATAGTTACATTTGTTGTCAGATTCACCGTCCCTGGAGGGTATAAGGAGTTGGTTTTTTCCGCTTCTGCAGTTTCTCTCTATTTGGGTGCAGCTGTGTACTTTCCGCTGACAAAAGCTTGCACGGTTATGTTATAGTGCCATGATGTTTGTTACACTTGCCATGTGGTGGTTGCTTTAGCGTGTTTTCTATAATAGAACATATGGTAACGCTGGCAATCATAGAATTAGTCATCTGCCTTTTAAGGTTTCCCGTCTTCTACTACACAATAGGAATCGCACAGAGGCATATTGCCTCTTCCAAAAACTTGTAATATTTGTAAGTTTTCTTTGTATAACTCTCGATCTGTGTAATGTTTATAAGTTTTCTAGATCAGCACTGTCACTCTCGATTTGTGTAACCTTATATTCATTATGCTAGATTAGAATTTTCGTTTTTGTTAATTTTTGTTGGTTTGGTCACTCTAGTGGGTGATCACATGTCTTCTAAAGATAATTAATTTCATTATGGAGTGAATAGTATCGATTCATATTTTTACTAAAGTGTTTTGTTATGTACATCGTTAAGATGATTCCTTTTATGAGGTCGATCCAGCCGCAATTGGCAACTATTGAAGCATATGTAATGACGAAGCATGTGTGATTTTTACTGCATTTGTTACCTGTGAGGATTTTTACACATTGGTGTTTGGACCTTCTTGAAGTTCTATGTTGTTGATTTCATTTTATTAGTAGAACCACAATGGAGGTTTGAAACTGAGAAATTAAACAACCACTATTAAATGTTTTTTCCTGCAATAAATTTTTTTCTATTTGTACTTTTTACTCTATTTTCCTCTGGAGAAATATTTATGACTTGCTTGATTAAGTGGACAGGTTCCAGCTGGGTTGGAAGAGGAAACCCATTGCTTTGATTAAAAAGGTAAGTGATTACGATGTGAAAGTATTTGAAGTATAAATGTGTCCATCAATGGAATAATATAGCATCCCATGTATTATAGCAGCCTTTGGACATTAACTTTTCAGATTCCTTATTCTCTTTTTCTTTTGGTGTTCTATTATGTTAACCTGAATTCATTATGATTACCATATGTTTGCCTATGTCTTCTCTGCCCGACCAGCGAAACATGATCATCGTCCCTGAGATGATCGGAAGCGTCATTGGAGTGTACATTGATCGGACAATATCTAGCTGAGTTCTCAATCTCATACAAGCCAGTCAAGCATGATAGACTTGGTATTGGTGCCACCTACTCTTCAAGGTTCATTCCTCTGAAGTGAGAAATCTACAATCGATTCAGAAATATAAAAGAAATTTTGTTCGCCTGAATCACCTATGTTATGTTCTTCTTCATATTCTTGTGCTTAATTTGTTCGTTTTCTATCTGCTTGCATTTTTTATTGGGCATGAATCTTTAAACTACTGTTAGTTTGAATGTTTTATCGGTTGCTTATTTTTTATTTGGAAAGAGTTCAAAGTTTTCTACTGCATTTTCTTTTATTTTTACGATTTTATATGTTTATATGGGGCATGTATTTTGGAACTTCTGTGGAGTCTTAACTTGAGACTCGAGAGTTCAGAAAAAAATAAAATGAATGAATCATGGGATCTTGTTAAAGAGATTAGTAGCTTGAGTTAAACATCATTGTTATAGTTGGACTCAGTATTCTTCTTGTTGTGGATTAATGATTGATGAGTACTCCCTTTTTTGACTATTTTGTCCATTGTTAACAGCTTCTTGTTGTCGTTATTTTGCATGTTTACAGGTGGCTGGTGCTGCACGAAACAGATCTGTCAAAATGGTGAAGGCTTTTTACACAATGAACAAGGTAATTCTAGTTTTTTTATCTGTCTTCAACAGAAAGCGCATTCATCTTCTCACAACAGATCTTAGACTTACCTCATCTATTTCCAGCTTCTTTTTACCTCACCATTTCATTTTGAACCTAACTATTTTAGTTATGAAAATCACATTTTTCCTGTCAATTTTTTCATCTCCCCTGAGGACCAGTTCAATTCTTGATAACACACTCTATTTTGATCCATGGAAATATTGATCCCATCAGAAACAAAATTTCACTTTATGATACGTTGGCACTATTCATTTTAAGTAGCCCAAATGGAAGTTAAGACCTAAAGCCTGAATTACAATTCGTTTTTATCCTAGATTCTCATAAGAATATGTCAATGACTGCAATAATGGAAATGACTTTCCGCATTGACTCAATATTTGAAATGTGATATAAATATTGAATATTGAAATACATGAATCATTAGTTGAACAATGTCATGATGTAGAATAGAAATAAACATATGAATATTCTTCATTAGAAAGAAAATACATGGAATGAGCCATGAGGGAACTAGATATGCATTCACAGTGAATATCATTTTTTAGATGGGAATGTTAATTTCTTAATTAACAAAATGACAAGGGCGCACAATGCTTAGTTTCATTCTTATCTTTTTCTTCTGTTATATCAGGCATCCTTATCTCCTCCAGCTTCCAGAGGGAACTGCTTTTGTGGTTGGGTTGATTGCTATGATGACTGATCATTACAGCAATTTGGTGAGACTGATTTAATTTTAATAGCAGGCTGTACATTTTGTGCTGCAAAATTCATGTTAAGAAGTGCTGAAAGTGTTTATTTTTTATAAAAACGGAATTTTGTTGATGAACAAAAGAATGTACAGGATTTGATGACTAGTGCTCCTCTACAATGAAGAAAATATACAAAAAGAAATAAAAAATGAATGGAGAACTCCATGTTGATCTCGCAATATGAATAATTGTAATATTTTGAGTGCAAATTGTAGAACCCCAAATAATTCTAGACACCTTAGTGGCACTAAGACATGAATATTGGATGACTAAAGTATACTTCAGATTTTTAGTCTCATTTAAAACCCATTTTCGATATAGGAAACATTCGATTTGGAAAAATGATATGAATAAAAGTTGTAGTTCTTTGAGTTAGCTTTCCAACGGACTTTGAATTACCTCAATCGGATATCAGGAGAAGAAGTTATGATAAAAAAATAAAAGCTGTGCAGTGTCAACCGGACTACAACCGGTCGACCGAAACTGCCTGAAATGAAAATTCTCGTTTTTCTCTAGAATTTAAATATTTATTTTCATCAATTATTTTCTCAAATGGCCACCCACGTTTTTGGCAATAAAAACACCACTAAATTGAAGCATTTAACCTCAAACTTAAATGACACCCGTGTTTTCTCTCTTAAATGAAATTTGACCCTTCATTTATTTTAAGTTATGGGATATTTACCTATAAATAGAGACCTCATTTCACTCATTTTTTTCTCACACCAAAAGCAAGAGTTTTTACATACTAAAGAAAGAGTTTCCAAGAAAGAAAAAGAGAGGGAGGAAAACTATTTTTCCTAGAAGTTTAAGAAGTGTTTTCAAACATCAATTCTCAACGGTTTTCAAACATCCAAGGAGTGCATTTCTTTCAACGTCCAAGCTTCATCGAAATTTTCAATCCAAGTTTTCAAAGTTTCAAAAGCATCAATCAAGGTAGGTAGAGGTGCAACGTGTTTAATCGTGTTAAGTTATAAGTTTCGATTCATGTTAATGTTTGTATGTCAAATGGTACTCCGGTACGACATATCCTTCTATGTTAATATTTGTATGTCAAATGGTATTCTGGTACAGCATACCCCTTTATGTTAAAGAAATGTTCGTATGTCAAATGGTGCCCTCGGATACGGCATATCACTTCATGTCAAATGGTGTCTCCGGATACGGCATGTATGAAAAGTTATAAAGTTAATGTTTTGAAATGTATAGCTTGATCACGAATGCACATATGACACCTATTGAGTTTTTCAACTCACGGGTTTAATCTCATCTCTACAGATTGAAGGAATTCTACCTCGGGTATGGATGGAGGAGAAGATGGAGAGTGATGCAACGAGCCCATGGAAATCTGGTAAATAAGTGATTTGGATTTATTTTTATGAAATGTTTTCCAATGTTATTTTTTTAAAGTTTTGAATAACGCAAAATGCGAGAACAAGTTGTGCGTTCTTCAAATAAATTACATTTTGTTGTTTTGAAAAATGATTCAGTATTTTTGTTTAAAGTATTTGAAGTATTATTATTTAAATTATTATCCGAAAATGTAAGCTTCCGCTAAAACGTATACACTTGTTACTAAACCACCGGTTAAGCTAAGTGAAGTAAGTAGCGTTCCGGTCCACTAGGGGTCGGGGCGTTACACAAATGATTTTTCGCTAGACATTATTTAAATGCTTCATTCTTGTCCCCAGAACCCAATGATATACAATATTTCTTTTTCCTCCTCCTATTTCTCTCCCTGCCTTTCCTCTCCCTCAAATGGAAGTGATATTTCAAAGTGGAATTGGCTCTGTTGCAAGCGGGAGTTACCATATGGGTTAACAGCCTTGGCCTATCCATGTGCTCTCCACCCTGGCTCCTGGGAGGCACATCCTGCGATTTACCTCCTCCACGATGGCCCAGGGCAGGGTCAGTGGGGGCCCCTAAGGTTGGGGTTCAATCTTTTTTGATATTTGGAGAAACAAAATCCTGGTTCCAAACCACTGTGGAATTTATTGAAATTAACTGTATGTATTATGAACTAGTGTTTTGCAAGTTTCTTGTGCAACTTGTTCTTAAGAGTGCTTGCTGTTATTAATTATTGAGAATATTTGATAATACTAAATGTCACTTAGTTTTGACGGGGTAATGTTGTTGGTATTTCGAGTTTTGATAGACATTGAAACCTTGTGAGTACTTGGTCAAGCGGAATGCGGCTTGACAGGCAGGAATTGATAGTGGACACGAAAGCAATGATGGAGCAGGATCATCTTGGAACCCTTTAAAGCGTTGGATGTGCAACTTATTTCACATTCCCAGATTGTTTCACCAAATTATGGTTTTCTGTCAGTGTTAAAGAAGAAACACACTGGCGGTATGTCGTGTAAACCATAATTCAAGCACTCGCTTGGCTGCAGTATTTCTGATAAAGCTTGTAGAATCGATTTACTGTAAGTAGATTTACAACTCTTATTATTGGCATGAAATAAAGAAGGAACCTTTCCTTGATGAACGTTGAAACTCGGATTAATTGCCCCGGCTGGTTATTACAAATAATGATGCTGAATATGCAAGTTGGTTATAATATTACTGTTGAACTGGTGTTATAATTTGTTGGAGTGATTTTAATCAAATTTTCCTCTCGGAATTTTGTTCAGGCAATGTCATCACTCAAGGTTAGGGAGGATAGCATGGAGAAAATTGAGGAAGCTATAGATTATGTGAACGATCGGCTTCCTTGGATGATTACTGCAAGCCAGGGGTGAGATCTTCTACCGTTTCCTACAAGTTCCACATAACATCTGAGATCAATTGATTTTGTGAATGTCATAATTGTTGTAGGCAATGATCGTAAGTTGAATGCATCCAATAAAAATGAGGAACAAAGTCCTTCAAAACTGATTAATCAAATGTATAGCTACACTGCTTATGATTCAGGTAATTCTTGGAAATACTAAGACACTTCTCTTTTTCTTTATATGTTGACTGATTCGAGTCACGATTATGTAATTGCTGAAATGAAAAGAACAAGAATTCCCACCATCTGATGTAATGCAGATACTCGATTATGCTGCTACAAGTTTGCAACCATGCTGTTCGCAGCCTTCCTGTTTATGCTAAAATACAGAAGTGCATGGTTTTCATCAATAGCCAAATATTGCAGGAAGATGCGTTATGGCATTATGTTTCTATCGAGTAGCTTCTTTCCCCAAAAATTATCATGATTAAGAACTTCAATTAAGGGTGCATTAAGTGTGTATTTCGTAATAGTTTATTCTTTTTATTTATATGGTGTTTATTGGGCTTTTACAGGTTTGGTTTTGAACCTAAAAGGTCCCTGGAAACGTTCATGATCACATTAGAGGAGCCTGGGAAGTTTAGAAAGACATATTGTTGCAGTCATTTTTCCCTTATGTATTTTTATTTTTCTCTCATATCTTCTCTTCTCATTTTTTCCCAAGTCCCGTCTTTAAGTTTCTGATACCGATCTAAAATTTGCAGCTGCTTATTGGCAGGAAGTGAAGAACTAGCAGAACTTCTCAAGAGGACCGTAGATAGTCAAAATGTATCCTTTCTTGATGCTGCAAGATTTGCAGGATATGCAAACCATCTGGAGGACTTAGCCAGCGTGTTTCTGAAGAAAGAAGTTATTCTGCTCTCATAGAGTTAAAGATAGAGCAAGGTCCAATTTTGGAATAGGAAGGTTGGGTTTCTTCCTTTCTAAACTTTGTTATTACTCATTATGAATAGTATGTGAAAAGCTATATTTTATTCATACTATCACTTGCTAATCTGCTTTGCATTTACTTTAGCTACATTTAGTGGAGTGGTGACAGCTATTACCGCTCCGACGACCATCAAATTGGACTTTGAAGGCAATGGAGACCATACAGGAGCAGTCTTGATGTCTATGAGGTAATATTTTTTCGACATATTAGCTACTTGGGGATTGTTTTAGAAGTCATCATAATCTCAGTTGTCTAGCAATGTCATCTAACCTAAACCATCTCCTTTACACACTTAGTTTACTAATCGGCAAGCTCAAAAGATAAGATTATGTATTCACTGTTGTCAAAGCTTAGCCTCCCCTTACGTTAATGGCTGCAGAATATCTCCAATGGGCATGATTTTCATTCCATTTTATGAAGGTATGGTCTCTTACATCCTTCTATATAATTTATCTCATGTTCAACTCGAAGGATTGCAAATTTTATGGAAGCGATACAACCCCCGACAGGGCCCACCAGATTCGATGTTATTGTCTAACATGGTCCATGCAGGATTCGGTCCATACTGTGCTTGAGTTCGAATCATCGAGGACGCGAATTACACCCACGTTGGGGCCCAACCCCTTGCTAACAGTACATAAGCTACTGTTAAGGACCGAATCTCGCATGGACCATGTTGGGGAAATATGGCCGACTACAATGGACCATGGTTGGGGGGATCAGATCGTTACAATCACTATCATTAAAACTTTAGCCTCTATTTGATATTTTATAAATCATTTGTAAATGGTGAAATTTCATTTTCAACTACATGTTCCAATGAATCCACAAGTACTATTCACTATTCATTTTTATCTATTTATAGATTAAATCGTTTATAA